AAATCAAGGTAATTATAGAGAACTAATAAAAATGTTTAAGAAATACGATTTGGAATTTTCTAAGTTACTTTCTGATTCGAAGACATTTAGCGGTGTATCTAAAACAATCCAGAATGAATTAATAGAATCAATTAGTTACATTTTAAGTAACATTATTGAATCTGAGATTCAGGAAACCATTTGCTTTTCACTAGAAGTAGATGAAACTACCGACATATCATGTCATTAATAATTATCAATTGTTTCGATACGCGTTACGTGGTAATATCTATGAGAGGTTTTTAGGTTTTACAGACGTGAGTAAAAGCCATAAAGTAGAACATATTTTTGGTGTCTTAAAGGACAGATTAAAATTTTTTGATATCAAAAATGAATTGGTAGGGCAAACTTATGACGGCGCTGCCGTGATGTCTGGTGAATTAAATGGTCTCCAGGCAAAAGTTAAAACTATTGCACCGCAAGCTTTATTTACTCATTGTCATGCGCATAGAATGAATTTAGTTTTGCAAGATACATGTAAAAAAATTAAAGAATGTCGTCTTTTTTTTGCTAGTTTAAGCGGATTTGCTTCATTTTTCTCAAGCTCGCCTAAACGGACTAATGTTTTAGAACGGTTTGTTTCGAAAAATAATGCCAAAAGTTTGTCAGACGCGATGGAATTTTAAATCTCGGTTATTTTTCACTGTAGCAGATTTTCGTGAACAGCTTTTGGAAGTTTTTTGATTTTATTATTGAATGTGACGATTTTGAAAGTGATGATATCTCGATCCGTGAAGCAATCGGTTTGAAAACTTTATTAAATGATTACTCTTTTAACATACTTTTAAATATGTTTAAGAAAGTGTTTACCCAAACCAATTTGATATTCAATGTTGTTCAAAATCAGTTAACTGACATTATTCATTCCAAAAATAGAATAACAAGACTGGTGCAAAATCTCAGAGATTTTCGTAATGATAGTAATTTCCAGTATATACGCAGTGACGTTTTGGACTCGCTTGATATTTCCGAACCCCCAAAAAAAAGACAAAGGCATGACACATAAAACAGATCTCGAAAAACGAGTATATTTTGAAATTTTGGATACTATTATTATGCAAAGAGATACTCGTTTTTTGAATTTTTAAGATTTGCAAATTTTTGACCTCTTTGACGATTCAAAATTTAAAAGTTACGCCAAGGAATTTCCAAGATATTTATTAGATAGGTTAATTAAAAATTATCCATTATTCTTTAATAAAATAATTAAACTGTTACCGAAATGAATAAATTATTGTCATTAATTCTCTCATTACCACCAACGTCTGCCTCAAAGGAACGAGATTTCTCTTGCCTCTAAAGAATCAAAACTTATTGTCGAAATACCATGAAACAAGAGAGAATGTCAAGCTTGTCTTAAATGTCAATAGAAAAAAAAACTTTTAAAATCTCTCCAAAACTCTAATAAATTTTACGATGACGTTATTACCCATTTTGCTACTTCCAAACAACGTAGACTATAGTTAATTTATAAACATGTTTAGGTTCTAAATTTATAGGAAAAAATAAAAAAAAAACGAAAAACAAGAAAACAAAAAATCTCCTATGATGATTGAAGTCTTTATTAGACGGTATACCTATCTCAGGAGACAAAAAATACCTTGCCGACCTTGTCTCTCAAGCCACGAGCCGCCACTGTATTCTATGTATATATAAAGAAAAGTTTTCTTCAGGTCAATATAGAACTAAATATCAATATGTTAAAAGTTTATCATAGCTCAGTAGTTATTCCAAAAGGAAAAGGACAAATTAGATTACTTGTTAAGATAAATAATTGGGAAAAAGAATGCATTTTTTTGATTGTTGAGGGTGCTACAAAATGTTTATTAGACAATATTTAGACGACAATAAAGTAAGTAGGTTTAGCTTGATATTGAGTATATTTTGTCAAAAACCTACTACAGAAGATAATATGAATATGTTTATAAATTTATTTAAGAATGAGTTAAGGACATCTAAATATGAAAAGATTAAATTAGAAATTGAAAAAGGAACTACACCTATTTTTCGGAAATCAGTTCCGATACCGTTTGCATTTAGGGAAAAAGTAGTTGAAGAGATTGAGAAAATTAAAAGAAAGAGTGATAGAGCAAGTGCCTAATACAAACTAAGGAACACGGTTAGTACTAGTATACACGGGTAATGGAATATATGTCAAGGCTTGTGCTAACTACAAAGTTAAAATAAATAAATATTTGCAAAATGTTATCCACTCCATTCCCAGAATTGAAGATATATTTACTGCGTTGCAAGGAGGGAAACGGTTCAGCAAGCTAGATTTTTTAAATGCGTACGTGAAACCAGAGACATCAGACCTCCTTGCGTGGAGTACACCGTATGGACGAATTTTTGAAATCAGAAGATCCCGAAATTGGTGACAACTTACTGAAGTCACTGGACTCAACAAGACTTAATAAATGGAAATCTACCGTAGAACATATTGATTTCTCACGTTCCAGTCGAAAGGCATGGGGACTGATCCGCAAACTGGGCGAAGCAAGCAGATTGCAACACTTAAACAAATCAACAAATGAGCCAAATAAAATAGCCAATAGAATAATTGAGAACTCCCGAGCTCCATCTGAGAAAACTCATACATCTACCGTAAAAAGAGCTCCTAAACAACTTAAAGCAAATACTCCCGCAACATCAGAATTCTCACGTGCCTTCTCATTGGATGAAATAAACGAAGCGCTTAACCAATCTAAAACAGGAAAAGCAGCAGGTTTCGATGGAATGTATCCTGAGTTTATAGTCCACGCCGGTACAAAAACACGACAGTGGCTCAAAAAATTCTTTAGCAACATTGTGAATACAGCTGTGCTACCCCCAGAATTCAAAAGAACAAAAATTATCGCAATCCAGAAGCCTGGCAAAGACAACAAGCTGCCTGAAAGTTACCTTCCTATTACCTTACTCAGTTGCTGTTATAAATTACTAGAACGACTTTTATATAACCGAATATGTAACACCATTGAGGATGCTGTACCAATTGAACAAGCTGGATTTAGAAGAGGACGAAGTTGCTGTGACCAACTGCTACCCTTAACTACATTTATTGAAGCTGGCTATGAAAGACGCGAAAAATCTGCCATAACATTTCTAGATCTCACGGCTGCCTATGACACTGTGTGGACAGAGGGCCTTATTTATAAGCTGATGAAAATCATACCTTGCCTCAAAACTTGTCAGCTGATAAACAATCTACTGACTAACAGACTGTTTCAGGTATATATGAAATGCACAGAGTAACGTTAGAAAACTTAACAACGGCTTATCCCAAGGCTCAGTGCTAGCTCCTTTATTATTTAACCTTTATACAGCAGATATACCTGAAACAAAATCGAGAAAATTTGCTTATGCTGACGACCTGGCCATTGGCTTCCAAGATAATAGTAAAGAAGCAGGAGAAAGAGCTCTAAACGAGGACTTAACTACACTAAGTAACTATTTTAAGAACTGGCGCTTACGTCCTAACACAAGCAAAACTGAAACCTGTCTCTTTCACCTTGTCGAATCAACTTGCAGGCGATACTCTCAATGTAACTCTAAATGATACAGCTATCAAACATAACAACAACCCCAAATATCTAGGCGGCACACTTGATAGAACACTTACCTTCAAAAGTCATCTTACAAACGAGCCGGTAAACTAAGAACAAGAAATAACTTAATATCAAAACTTGCTGGAACAACTTAAGGTGCTTCTGCAGATACTCTTCGGACCTCTGCTCTAGCTTTGGTTTTTTCAGTGGCAGAATATTGTGCACCAGTATGGCTAAATAGTGCACATACAAGCAAAATCGATGTCCAACTTAACCAAACCATGAGAATAATCACTGGAACAATAAAACCAACGCCAGTGAGATGGCTGCCTACTTTGAGCAATATTGCTCCACTAGATCTACGCCGTACAGCAGCATTAGTGAGAGAGTACCAGAAAATTGTAGCCAACGTACAATTACCAATACATCAAGATATCCCAGACATCTCAAAAGAGCACCAGCGACTGAGATCTAGAAATCCTCCAATACGATCTGTCCGAAAAATTGGTAATTCCTATGATATACATAGGCAATGGACAATAAGATGGATGCCAACAGTAGAATCGGACTATATTAAGATATCCACCCCAACTCAGGGTTTCATCGGATCAAATCTGCCACGGTCCACTTGGGTAAGGCTTAATCGTATACGTACCGGCATGGTAAATGTGCTGATTTGCTGTTCAGGTGGGGTCGTGCAGAAAGTCCACAGTGCGATTGCAGACAATCTAGACAGACCATAAGCCATTGTGTTTCAGACTGCTTGAATCGTGCCTACCGTGGAAACCTCCAGGACTTTGCGGAATGTTCCCCAGAAGCAATTGAATGGCTATGTAAATTGGACATTAATATTTAGTGTCATTCATTCTATCTTTAGTGTTTGTATATATATTATTGTATGTATATATATGTATATATTATTGTATTTGTATATTTGTCGTACTGTGAAAGTCCATACGCTAAATAAATAAAACCGTATGGTATATTTCAAGTTAACTGTTTACCCTAGTACCAATGTAGGGGTAACAGGGAGAGATGATGCTGGACATGTTGCAAATTTATATAAAGTTTTAAAAATATTGGATGAAGAACGTTTTAGATTACATAGTAGTAAATGTAGTTTTTTTCAAAGTAGTATCAAATATTTAGGGCATAATCATATCAGCAGAATGGTTAAAGAAAAGTGAAAAGAAAGTAAAAGCAATAGTAAAGGTTCCAGTACCTAAAAATATTACAGAGGTAAGAGATTTTGTAGAAATGACAAATTACAGTGGCAATAATCCTGGCTCCATCTGTTGGAGATCTACAAAAACCTAATTTTTATCGAACAGACTCTGGTTTATTACATTTTTACATTGTTTTAAATTTAAATAAGTTTTGTTTCTATTTACTATCAATAAAAATCAATATTTATACCAGTAAGAATTTGGACACCACTAGGAAAATACTTGACACACATAAACAACGTATTGGCGAATAAAATCTGTCTTCGTCTTTGTCTCTGCAAGTCCCAAATGATGACTGTACCATCCGTACTAGCGCTTGCTGCTTCGCTGTCAAATTTATTAACATCTATTGCTGATACAGGTCCCTTATGTTCTTTGAGGGTGCAGATCAGCTGTTGTTTAAATGGAGAAATATCCCATAACCTAAAAATTTGAAGTTGTCTCGTGAAAACATTGTTTTAAATTTACACAAAATCGAAAGAGCAAACTAAAAGATATATTGGACATAACAGAGAAAAAAGAAGATAATTATTACGCATATGAGTGCTTGACACAACCGATCGTTTGAGCATATCTGATATAAAGCCTTACCTAACTTGTCCTTCACATCCTCCACTTATCAAAACTTTACCATGAGAAGTCGTAGTCAGAGCCGAAACTCCTTTATTGTGCGCGTTTAAAATGGCGTAGATCAATCTACCCGTCAACGGAGTAAAAGATCGAATGACGCCATCGCTCCAGCCTGTCAAAATGGATTTGCCGTCGTATGAAAAAACGACACTGGAGCAGGTGAAATTTTGGACTCGTATACGAAGCAGCTCTTGCATTGTTACCATTGACCAAAGACGACGTCATGCTTTCCTGCTGTGGCAAAAACTTCCGAGAAGTTGCTACAAATAAATAAAACTGATATTATAAGAAATATTGCTGGAGCAACTACTTCTACAAGTTCTACATCATTATGCTACACTTACAGGGAGTCAACTATATTAAAATTAACAATCAAAAGACTGATATTTTTTGTACACACTTATGACAAGTCAAAAGAAAATGTAAAAAAGTATTTTTGAAGTGTGTATATTTTAAGCAATTCCTAGCTGAGCGCTTTCGGCTTTACAAAGCCATCATCAGAGCTATGGTCAATTTATAAATACCACTACAATGGAGAGATCTCATTTCCTTATATTTCAAAATTATGATTTTTTAGTTGTTGAAATTCTTAAAACATTAAAATACATATAAAAACCGACACTGGACTTCACAGACACGTTAAAAATTTTTTTTTTTTTTTCAATTTTTTAACGTGTTTGTGAAGTCCAGTGTCGGTTTTTTTATATGTTTTTTTATGTTTTTTAAGAATTTCAACAACTAAAAAATCATAATTTTGAAATATAAGGAAATGAGATCTCTCCATTGTAGTGGTATTTATAAATTGACCATAGCTCTGATGATGGCTTTGTAAAGCTGAAAGCGCTCAGCTAGGAATTGCATAAAATATACACACTTCAAAAATACTTTTTTACATTTTCTTTTGACTTATATTAAAATTGTGAGTGACTTGTCAGCGACAAAATTGTGACAGTTTGTGTACTGTGGTCAGTTTGAGATACGTCAGTAAGGCGTAATCAATTTTGGACAGATATAATAAATCCAGACGAAAAATCAAGATTTGGATGCCAGTCAGGTGAAGAAATTAAAAAATTGGTTTTGTAAAAAGTCTTATTGAACACGCAGAGCTCCAGAAGCTCTATTTAGAAGATGTACTATCATACCGGGTAGCGGGTAGGAATTCTCTTGGACAGTCTTACCAGGTAAAGTGAATCCGAAGATTTCAAGAGTTTTCTGACCCGGGAAATAGTACCTGCTTGTGGTACCTTGTCCAGGGTCACGGATGAAGACCACAACGGTATCCACGGCGGAGAAGAACATCTTCGGTATGGTGTGTATGGCGGAAGTGGCACCCACGATTTTGTGGTTAGTATAAAATTTAATGTAGCGTCTGATCCAGAGTGGACGACTACACAGCGTCTGACGCAGAATGGGCGGCTGATAACTAACTCACCAACCCATTACCCCCTCCTTTTATCATGGCGAATCATAAAACAAAAGGAAATGGTCCCCAGGTGGGTAAGAAAATTTCTGATAGATAAAAACAAAAACTCACTAAGACCAGCACAGGATAAATCAAAAAAATAAATCCGTCAACCTGTCAATAGGGACATACAATATTAGATCAATGTCCAAGTATGAAAAGTTAATGAAATGGAAGAAGAAGTAACAAACATAAAATGGGATATCATAGGCCTACAAGAAACTTGACGAAAAGAAGAAAACCGAATACCGCTAAAATCCGATTATCTGCTGTATTATAAAGGAAATGAAAAGAATAGTAAATTTGGAGTAGGATTTATAATAAATAAAGCGATAAGTAAGCATGTCCAAATTATCAAAGGTATATCAGATCGTGTCACCTATGTCATACTTAGAATAAGAACATCAATTACACTGACCGGCAAAAATAGTGGCCACCCTATAAGTTTACGAAAATAAAAATTCAATAGAAGTTTTATGCACTGTTTCATATTGTATACTCAACAATTTTTATTTTTAAAACAAAAAATGGCCATTACTGTTTGATTTCTTAACATAATGTATTTAATTAGAAGGCTACAAAAGAAAATAGTGTAATACCGAAACGAATTACAAACAATAAAAATTACGAGTGAACTTAAACAAAATTGTCTAATATCTGGTATTATGCCCTAAAACATCAATAACCGTTTGCGTACGATTTAGAAGGGGGAGGAAAAAATTTTGAGCAAAAACTTAAGGAATTTCGTTCATATAATTTTGCAAGACTTTCTGGCTGGCCTTGATGACTTCTACGAAGAAGTTCATCAAAAAAATGTTCGATAATATTCAGATCGGGGCTGCAGGCTGGCCATTCTAGAGTCTTAATTCCAACTTTCTTCAAGTAATATGTCAGGATTCTTGCAGTATGCGACCGTGCATTATCATGCATAAAGACGAAATTGTCCCCAATAAAAAAACCAAATGAAACTATTGCTTCTGCCGAAACATCCTCTATATATCAGTGAACATTTAGTTAGCCATTGATGAAAATAAGTTCAGTTTGAGCTTCAAGTGAGATCTCAGCCCAAACCATGATACCACAACCGCCAAACTTTGTTCTCTGGGACATACAAGCTGGTGCAAATCTTTTATTTCTCCGCCTCCAAACCCTCTCTGGGCTATCGCCAGACTTCGAACAGAACCACGATTCATCAGTAAAGATAATTCAGCTCCAATCCTGTATATTCCAGTTTTGATGTTGTCGAGAAAAAATTCATCGATTCCTACAGTGTCTGGGTTGTAATTCGAGAACAATAGCCTGCCTTCTTGTCACTAGTCTTCTTTTATTGAGGCGTCTTCTAACCGTTCTCTCACTTACATTCCCATTTTGAACCTCCTGCAGACGGTTTCTTCAGCAATTGCAGTGGAATGGTGATTTCTTAAGGGTTTCATCACATTAAAATGATTATCTCTTTGTGAGGTAACTCTTCTACGACCTGAACAATAAACGTCGAAACCATCAAAAACAAACATACAAGATCGCAGAAAATATTTAATTAAAGATGCTATATAAAACAGTGTAAAATTATCCAGGTATATGCCCCCACGACAGTTTATGATGACGAAGATATCGAACTATTTTATGAAGATATATCAAAGGCTATGAAAGAACATAAAAATCGTCTTACATTAGTAATTGGAGATTTACTGCCATTGGAGCATATTGGAGCCAAACTGGGTAGAAAACTAAACAAAGAAGAAACTAAAATAGGAGATTTCGGGTATGGTCAGAGAAATGATAGAGGTACTACTTTCTAGAAGAAAATCATCTATACGCAATGAACTCCTTTTACAAAAAGAAACCCCAACGAAAATGGACATGGATCAGCCCTAATGGATCCACAAAAAATGAGATCGACTACATACTGTCCACGGAACGATATATCATTAAATATGTAACAGTTCTTAACAGATTCACAACAGGTAGCGATCACAGGATGGTCAGAGCAAAAATTAGTATTGACAGTAAGTATGAGATGAAAAGAAAAATAAGTAGAAACTGGGATCTAGTAGATAGAAACAAACTAGGGCAATATAAAGAGACATACCAACACCTATTAAAAGAACAACTTACCCAAAAATTAGACAGTGGTGATAAAGATAGAGACGAAATAGACAACATACTTACAATACTGGTCGGTAAAGCGATCGTCCGGCGCAACTCATTCGCGGGTCGGGCGACAGAAGTGCCCCCCCCCCATGATGGAACTAGCAAGACAGAACCAGTTGGTAATTACGAGTAACGCCAAACATTCTTACTTTCATCAATTCATTAACACGCAAGATTTAAAAAGTCCTCCCCCGCTAACTGTCCCAGAACGGACACGGGTAGAACAAAGAAAACGTAAATCAAAACAGAAACAAAACGTGAAACACAAGAGGCACTCAGTCTAAGTCGGATGTAAAGGTCCTCCCCCTACTGAATGTCTCTTAAAACATGCACCACAGTTAAATAAAATTAGAGTAAAAACGGTAAAATGTTGTATAAATAAATTTGGTAAATAACTAAATAAATAGATAAAACAGAATAAATAAAAAATAAAATAAAATAAGGACAGTCAACGTAGTTTTGATGTAAAGGGTTCTCCACCGCTGACTGCCTTGCATGGCACAAACACGTTAAAAAATAAATAAAGACGATCGGTCATTCCGCTTGCAGACGCCTCTCTTTTTCCTCTTTGTGTTTGATTGTCTTGTCGACAAAAGCAATGACCAGGCCGAAGTATCTCTTGCTAGCGATAGCTTTATCAATTAACTCGTGAGGCTCGCCTAGAGGAAATCCAAGACCCAGCTATAGCTGATATGCAAAGCGCATGAACACAAAATTCCGCGCGTCATCCACCACTCCACACTCAGGACATAGATTACCCGCGGTCTTCCATATATGATGGATAAATTTCCTAAATGATCCCGTCGAGAACTGTGTGAAGTAGTAGTTGACGCGCCGATGCCGGCATTCATACCACCTCACCACATTTGGAATCAGGGATCTCATCCAGGCTGCCTTCCCGACTTCGGCTGTCAATTCCCTCTGCCACGTCTGTAGACTTCTCGTCCTTTCCTGTGGTCCTGAACCTATTGCCCATTGCCCCTTCGGTACATTCGGACCGGGAATGTGCACCGGTACAGAATCAGCCACTACCTGTAAGGCAATGGCTGATACGGTTCTGTACGCGCTGCACACCCTGATCAGAGGTTTTGTCTGTTTTCTCTGAGGAGATTCCTTACCTCAGTGATGTAAACAAAAGGGTTTCTGGGAAAAATCTATAATATCATAAAAGTTAATTGATATTCAAACACTAGATCCGCTTTATTAACCAGAATAAGAAGTCATCTTTTTGAACTACAAGCTTGTTTTCAACTAGCTCTAACTTATACTTACTAAGGAAAAGCAACATCGTGTATGGTAGAAGTATGACAGGTAACCACCAATCTAGCTTTGAATTCACTGAGGTTTATTGTATATATTTCGGAGTTTAATGTCCCCACCAATATAGTGTTATCGTCGATCAGTTGGATCGCAGAAACAGCAGCGTTAACGTTTGTGGTTTTGTGCACTTTTAGAGCCGGCACCGACGGCATTTTAACGTTGCGATCGAATTTCAAGTTCGATTTTATACATTCCTCTACCAGTTCTACGTTACCCTCACCATCTCCGATCACTAATTTGCCACCAAAAAGAAGTCTGATAGCTCTTATGCCTGAAAAAAAAAAACAAAAATGGATCGTAGGAGTTTATGTTTAAAAAAAATAATATTTTCAATATATGTAAATAAAAAATAATGAAAAATATTGTAACGCAAGCCTTGATACGCCCATGATCGAACATACTAGGCGCTTGATCGACGATTCGAGCTAAAAGGTGCTCTAATGTCGTTCTGGGAGCTTTTCAAAGAGTGAGACGACATATATAAAAGACGATTAGAATTTAACGAGTCATTTTAAACTAAAAATTTGTATGGTTAAATAAATAATTGTTATAAATTAATCGTTCTTTAGTGTTACTGTTAGAGGACTTTAAATCAATTAAAATAAACATTCCAATATGAAAAATTATCAGAAACAAATTTATTAAATATTAATTCTATTACCGTGTTGGTACAAATCCACAACACCACGATCCAATTTTTTCTTTGATAATTTGGCATAGCAGCCTATGACTGACGGTTGTTTGGTGGGTTCTAGTACATCTGAATCATGGTGAAAGAAGAGTCTTATTTTTAGTACATCTCCAGTTGTTGTACCGCAGTAACAAACCTACAAATGTACCAGAGAACCATATTAATGTGAGCAAGTACATTAGGAGCACAGAAAACATGTGATAATTAAAAAAAATAAACATAACGATTGTCAAGGTTAGTACCTCATCTCTTTCATTAATCTCTACGCATAAAATCACTCTTCTCAGTTTCGCCATTGCTACGTTGAATTGGGACATATTCCTCGCCTTGTGGTTTATGACCCAGATAGTTAAATGTGCATCTCCCGCAGTTATGAAACACGCTGCACGTTTATTCATTGAATTTATGCAAGTTACTTCACCAGATATGCCTTTTGCCACCTATAACCAAAGTCATTTAATTTTTAATGTATCAAATTGACTGCAAAATTACCAAATAATAAATGAAACGAACAGAAAACTATTTATGTGTTAGAAGAAATGTCACTTAAGATTGGTAAAGTACGTGTTAGATATGAATGAAGATAAAATGGATCCATGTTTGACTCCTCTTCTTCGTACCTCGACAACTAAGGCCATTGACTACTAACATTAGATATATATCAAATAAAGAAAACAGATGATAATTGTACCACTTTAACCAATGTCTATTAGCTTAAATCTTATGATAGAGTTGAGCAGTATTTAGAAACTGTATAGTTTTCGTGATCTATGTAGGATTGTTGGATATTTCCTTAAGAGTAGGTTTCTAGTCCAATGCTTTATACAGGTTGGTCAATGGTTTGCAGTGGGTGAGGATGTGTTAAAACCAATAAACGGAATAAATAAACCATGGGTAAGTTTGGCGTAGTTAATTCGAAGTATCTGATAAACTATGCTTCTCTTTTAATTAAGAAGTCCAGAGGGAGATGACCAATAAATGCTTGGAGATAATGAAGAGTTATTTTGCTCTTTTGCATAAGTTTTGCCAGGTATCCTTTACTAACTTTTTAAAAAAAAATTCTTTGGTAGCTCCTTTGTTAAAATGATCTGCTGTTTTATTACCAGTAATTCATACATCGTGAGCAGAGAGATTTTGGTAGATGTCATGAATAGTTTGATACAATGTGTAGTGATATTGTATTTGAGTTGATAGATGAAGATCTTTCAAGTTCATGTATATTGGTGACTGCACAGCTAACACTAGTGGTAGTATTAGAAGCATCGATATAGAGAAATAAATCATAGGATTTTTTGTATAATTTCTTAGAATACTTTCTTTATAAGAATGTTAGGAGATTCGTGTTTCTTAAAGATGGGAGTGAGGTGTCTATTGAAGGAAGATGTTTAGCCCACGGAGGAAAATGAAGTTAGAACAAATGTAGTAGTCAAAAGAAGATCAATATTTTTATGTAGTGGATTCATTGATTTTGGTATAGCTTTTATGATAAGATGGACATTGTTATTGGAAAAAGAGGATATTGTGGTAATTAGAGAATGAACAGGATTGAAGGGATTAACAGATGTTGATTCAGTATATGAAGGTAGGAGAGATTGTCGTCTTAAGATGGGAAGATTTTATTGGATTTATGATAGACGCTCTTGATATGACTGGAGCAAAAGGCACCTAGACATAGATCGGTTTAATAAATCTATGTCAGATCTAGAGGCAGAGGAATAAAGCAAGACATCGTAGTCGAGCTTAGATCGGATGAGAAATCTGTAGAGTCTTAATATAGTAGATTTATCGGCACCCAATTGAAGATGACTAAGTGTTCTAAGAACGTTCAACTATTTAAAACAATTGATTAGTGTAGGTGATTTTTACAATTTAATCTGGAGTCAAATATCAAACCGAGAATTTTACATTGATTAACAACAGTTAGTGGGAAATTGGTAATGAAATTTAGGGCAAGCGAATAGAGGTTCTTCTGGAAAATTTTATTAATTTGATATTTTGCTCTGGGAGAGTGGTAATCGTAGTTTATTAGATTTATCTTGAAGACAATTTACTGCTTTTTGTAGAAGTTTACATGTGGTGGAAACAGTTTTACCATGGCAGTAATAGATTAAGTCATTAGTGTATTGAACATATTTTATAGAGCAGAAATAGATCGTTGATTGTAAGAATGATTCGAGTTGAACTTAATGCAGATTCTTAAAAGAAACCCTGATCTTAAGCAAGAGATTGTTTAGCGACGGCAAGAACCTTAAAGGTTTTTCCAGTTTGCCCCTTCGATGTCAAATATAGTTGCTACTATTTATTGATTGTGAATTGCTTAAGATATGGGTGTTTGAAGAGCAACAAGGTTTTCACGTGAAGACTGGTGACGTCAGAAGCCCAATTCAGTGTCAGGAAGAATATTATGCTTTTCAAGGAGCCAAGTGAGTCTTTTATTTATATATATTTTTTTAATTTGCAGATAGTGCAAGAGAGAAATCGGAAAAAAGATCTAAGAGTTATGGAGAATTGATCAGGTTTTTAATTCAGAATTATATATTGCGCCAAATATCTGGGAATTTATGTTTGTTCCAGATAAGATTATAAATTTGGGGAGGTGTAAAATAAGAGAGATGTATTAGAGAGATTTTTTAAAAAGATATAAGGAATATCATCTGGACCAGCAGTAGATTTTCTATACGAATACAGGGTAAATTACAGAGTATGTAAGGTAAAGGGGACGTTTATAAACGTGACATCATGTGGAGAACGTGGAGAAAGATTGAGTGTGTAAATAACTGGAAGGGGAAGCTGTATTACTTTTATTGAATTTATCTTATTGTGGTCCATTCTGTGGCCATATCTGTATAGTGGGCCATTATTTGGCTATCAGAGATAACTGTATTGTTAAAAGTTAGGGACGAACCTAAAGGTTAGTTATATTGTCTTGTATTAGCGATTTTTTTCTTTATTTAAATGGGATTTGATATTTAAAGTTGTGTATGCTAGAGAAACAATAAAAATTTAGAATATATGCAAACCTGGTTACTGCAGATGACTTGATGAGCTTCGGTATCCCAGACAATCGCAGATCCACAGTCTCTCCCACCCAGACTGATAACGTACTTGTCATCCATAGAAAATATCAGGCCTTCGACACGCACCTTGTGGTGTTCGTGCTGTGATAGTAGTTCCATTTTCTCGAAATCCCATACTATTACTGTAGCCTTAAAATAATGTATTTATCAAACAAACCTTCAATAATATAGTGGAACTTGGATATTACGGATTCGGTAATCACGTCATCTCGGTTGTAACGTCATTTAATAGGTCTGTTCAAAAACTATTCGATAACATTATTAAAAACCCGGTTTTATCGTAAAAATAAAGTAAGCCTCGTCTATAGCGTCTTAAAATTTTACAGTAGGTTGTAGTTTTTATTTTATGAAGAATAAAGTGCAATGCGTTTGAAGCATTGTTCCTTCCAAGAATGCGAAAAAGCCCAATTATGCCGTCTATGTACAGTTATGTGACCTTGACAGTTCTATGATTTCTCATTTATCAATGCCATTCATAACAGTCAAATTTTCTGATTCAGAACAGTCAGTTTAAGAAATTTTCACTACCTTGCAATTGTGTATGGCTCGTTTTGTTTTTAGATTTTAATTTAGTAATTAACTTTTTATTTTTTAATATGGCAAGTTGTACAAGCACTATGCTAAACTAAAAGAAAGGCTTTGCCTATTAAAGAAAAAGTGCGTGTTATAAGAACATTTGAAAGTGGTCGAAAAATTACTGATATATGTCGGCAATTTATACTTGGTAATTCGACTGTCGGCTCAATCCTAAAAGACAATGACAAAATTTTAAAAGCCTTTAATGAGGAGGGAGAAAATGTTTTAGGAAGCGCCTTCGTGGCGATGTAGATTCAGCTCTACTTAAATGGTTCAAGCAGTATCGCAGTTCTGATATTCTTGTGTCTGGGTTACTTTTAACGGAGAACGCAAAACTCTTTGGTGAAGATTTCACATGCTCTAACGGCTGGCTAGATCAGTTTAAAGCCCGGCACTTAATTTCCTTCGCGAAAATTGTTGGAGAGGCAAAATGTGTGGACAATAACGTGACAGGTAATTGGTTACAAAACACATGGACACAACCAAGGCAATCATACAAAGATGAAGATATGTTCAATGGCGATGAAACTGTTGTCTTTTACAAATTAACGTCAGACAAAACTTTAAATTTCAAAATCAACAATGTGTCAGTGGAAAGCTTTTAAAACAAAGAGTCACGGTTGTTGTTTGTGCAAACATGACAGGTACAAAGAAAAGAAAGCTTTTGGTTATTGGGAAAAGTTTACATCCTAGATGTTTCAAAAACATAAAAACACTGCCTATAAACTACACAACTAACAAAAAAATGTGGATAACATCTGCTATTTTTGAAGAAGAATTGAGAAAGTGGACAAGAAATTCTTCTAAGAAAAAATAAAAAAATTCTTCTGTTGAGCATTCCAAGCTTAATTTGACCAATATCAACCCGTGAACATTAGCATCCTTGATGCAGTTCAGTTTTTAGATAAAGCTAAATTGACTGTAGTTTCTTCCAATGTTCAAACTGTTGACGAGGATGACGAGATACCTTTGTCAGAGTGGATACAAAAATTTAATGTAAACCAAAAAGAGTTTGGAACTGATCTTCTTCTAAATTTCAGTAGGCGATCAGGTAGAAACATTTCAAGTTTTAAGTAATACTGAAATTGTTGATCAAGTGCAAAATCTGGAAATGGATGTTGATGAAAATAATGAAGAAGAAGATGACGACGGCGTTGATTGTTCTACAATCCAAGAAGCAATGGAGCTGCTAAGACCATATCCAGGTTTTACCAGTTTAGGGAGGCATCCACAACTACCAGAGAAGCAGCTTAGATTAATAAGGATACAACAGAAAAAGTAAATTTTTCGGAAATGGTTGTGCTGAAGAAAATAACTGACTTTTTTCAGCATTAGAGAACTTTTTAATAAAAAATGTTTCATTTTTTTCTATCTTTTTTATAACGTCACTCTGATACAGCGTCATTCTTTTATTGGACCATTCAATGACGCTATAACCAAGTTCCACTGTATATTGTTTCCATTTTATCGTTATAATGATTGCATATTAGTTATACAAGTTACCACACTTACCCTAAATCCAATATGGTTGATTTGGCCGCTGGCAATAAACTTTCCGGATTTGGAAACTGCCACGCAAGATATGATATTTGTGTGGCCGACCAAAAATTGCTGCTTTTTTGTACTCCACTCCATGATGGCTACCTTATTCCCCAAAGCGTAGACTACGTGCTTTCCATTTGGATGGGCAAGCAAGCTGTTTGTATTTCCACCTTAAAGAGATCAAATAAGTTGGTAGGCATGCTAGCTTCTCCATTAAATGAATATTGTGTTAAATTGGGGAAAGCAGCAGCTAGAGTTGGAGAGTTTTTATTTGGTCATCATTTGTTTGTTAGATTTTCAACAGAGAGGCAAGATATTTTTTATAATAAGCTGTTTTGATTATTAAACTGGCATTTCAGAATAAATTTTTCTGCCAAAAATAGACGTCTTAAATGTAAAGGTTGCTCATTATACTTTGCCAAAAGAACTGGTGTGGAAGCTCCTAGGACTAACCTTAAAGCTTTGTATTGTATTCGATCCAATTTAACCAAACGAGATTTTGTCGCTGATACATAGAAGAAACTTCCATAGTCCAAAATTGATCTGGTACAAATAATATTTAAAAGTCTCTTAGGAATATTTTGTTCAAAAATTACAAGACTAAAATTCCTTAAAGCATTTTTAAAAAATCTTTCGATTCTGGCAGTTTTAGTAGAAGCTGTGGACAAAAATAATAAAGAGAACGACGACTTACCATCAAATCCAATAATTGCCTTGATTCCCAGTTCTTGAACATCTTCTACCTCATCCTCAGCCATTGCTTACCTATAATCCCTTAAAATAATAAAACGTTTGTCAATATGTCATCTAAAATGACAATATATCATTTCATACAGTCAGTACTTTCTCTATAGTAAAGTTGGATAGTTTACCATAGTAACAGCTGAAGGTTGCCACAGCAACCACAAGGTTGTACATTTCGATCACACAGGCACTATACAGTAGAGTACACGGTTCTTTACCCGTCCGTCAATATTTAAAATATAGAATATAAGTTGGAAATTTACTACACGCAATAAAAAGTGACAGAAAGTGGCTAATAGATACATAAATAGAATGTAAAATGTTAGTTTTGCTTTAAAACTTTGGTGCAGAATTAGAGCTGCATTCAGCAGCTGCTACATTTGAAGTAACTTAATAAATAAATAAACAATTTATATAAAAAAAATTAATATGGTTCTTCTCAGAGCTTTCTTTCAGTGCGTCATTAATTATGACATCATATAATATATTGGATCTTTCGAGAAATATTTCATGTAATTATTAACGAATCTGACAGATGCCAGGATCGTACTTGCCCACAGGTAAAAATTATGGCATTAAACTAGTACTTTTATTGCAAGGTGGATTAAATAGTAAACAATATTGTTAATTAAGTTTATAAACGGACAGCCGGAGTGTGACGCCATGGCGGCCATATTGTTATTATTACTTTCCAAACGAAAGTTGAAAAGCCAGGGTTTGCACAATTTCAAGATTTCTATAAAGTTTAAATTTTGCTTCCTCTGCTGCTTTTTCTTCTTAAGTATAGTGGTTTTTACGATAATACCATCATAATTCGGTGTTATATTTCTATGAAAATAAAAGACAACAACTGAAAATAAAGAACGTTAATTCTGACCTACAATCAGAAATCAGTAAAAATGAAATAAAAAAGGCACTCAAAGAAATGAGGAATAACAAATCTCCTGAGAAAGACGGAATAACTATGGAAATGCTTAAAAATGGGGGGAAAACTACAGTGGAAGTCCTTTATGTACTAATGAATAAAATATTGAACACAAAACAAATGCCCACCACATGGAACGAGGCAATAACACTATTACTATTTAAGAAAGGCGATAGAAAAGATCTGAATAACTATAGGCTCATAATGCTACTTAATGTAATGTACAAATTGTTAACATTACTAACAAACAGATTAACAACTAAGTTAGATAATTACCAGTCAAGAGAGCAAGCCGGTTTTAGAAAAGGATTCAGTACAAGCGACCATCTGCTTACGATAAAAATATTAATTGAAAAGGCCGAGGAATATCAAATCCGAATGTATATGACATTTGTAGACTTTGAGAGTAGGCCTATGCGAGACAAGGCTTAAAGGCGAAGAATCGACTCTACTAAAATCAGGGCACACTTTGTACCAATACAATTCAGGAAATAACCAAGGTATAGGAGGCGTAGGCTTTTTAGTACATAAGAGAATTGAAAACATGGTAACCAAATTCCAAGCAATTTCTAATAGAGTTATCTATATGGTAATAAAACTAAATCGTAGATACAGCATTCAAATAATCCACTGTTATGCACCAACTTCTTCTGCAGATGACGAAGAGGTAGAACAACTTTATGAAGACATTACAAGAGCCAGAAACCTAGAGAAAACATATTACGTAATAATTACGGGAGATTTCAACGCTAAAATAGGAAAGAACGAAAATAACAACGACAACGAATATATTGGAAATTTTGGACTGGGAAGTAGAAATCATAGGGGAGATATGCTCGTAAATTTCCTCAGCAAAGAAAAACTATTCTGCTTAAATACCTTCTACAAGAAAAATATGCAGAGAAAATGGACGTGGTTAAGCCCAGATGGCAAAGTAAAAAATGAAATTGACTTTATACTCTCTAACTTCAAAAACATTGCTAAAGATCTTACTGTACTAAATTCTTTCAACACTGGTAGTGATCATCGATTAGTTAGGACGCGAATAGAAATAAATACGAAATTAGATAGAAGAAAATTATTAACACAGGATAAATTGCCAAACATAGAAGCACTCGAAATGAATCAAGAGGAATATCAAAGTGAACTAAAAAAGAAACTAGGGCCTCTACCAGTATTCAACACGAAAGATATAAATGAAATAACACAAAAATTAACGAACGACATAACATCAACTGCAAAAAAGATCTGTGATAAAAATAAAAATCCCAGAAAAACGAAACTGAAACAAACAACACTTAATTTAATGGAAGAAAGAAGAAGAACATCGAAAGAATTACCAGAGTATAAAGCTATCAACAATAAAGTTAAAAAGAGCATAAGGTCAGACTTGCGGGCTTATAAAACAAAACAAATATTGCAAACCATCGAAAACAATAGAAACATGAGAGTATTGAAATCAAATTTAACTAAAGGAAAATCAAATATAACTAAAATCAAAAATCAACAGGGGAATACGGTGACCGAAAAAACTCAAATAATCAAGGAAATACAAACGTTCTATAAGAATCTTTATACATCTACTATACAGAACCCCGAACCAGACCACAGAACAATTCTAAACGTCGGCTCAGAAACCCTCCCTAAAATAACCTCTTCGGAAATTAGACATGCCTTACAGCAAATGAAAAACAAAAAAGCTCCCGGCGAGGATCGTATAACGTCTGAAATGTTAAAAATGGGCGGCAACATCGTTGTAGAAGTTGTGGAAGTCTTACTGAATAAGTGTCTAACAGAAAAAAGAATACCCAGCCTATGGGAAAACGCCGAAATAATACTTTTACACAAGAAAGGAGACACTACTAATATTGAAAACTACAGACCTATTAGTTTGTTGTCACACTTATACAAATTGTTAACAAGAATAATAACCAACCGCATAACACAAAAACTTGATTTATATCAACCGGTTGAACAGGCGGGATTTAGAAAAGGGTTTGGCGCTAATGATCACTTACAAACCATCAGAACACTAGTAGAAAAAACCACAGAATATAATGTACCTTTACATATGGCATTTATCGACTTTCACAAGGCTTTCGATAGTATTGAGACTTGGTCCTTTTTGTCAGCCCTGAAGGATGCTCGAATAGACTCACGGTACACTACACTCATTAAAAACATTTATGAACAGGCCACATTCCACATCAAAATCAATGAAGACGAAAAAACTGAAAAAATGCGCCTTGATAAAGGTATTAGACAAGGTGATACTATTTCACCAAAGCTTTTTACCTTAGCATTGGAAAATGTATTCAAACAGCTTGACTGGGAGGAAAAAGGTGTAAACATTGATGGTGTACGTTTGAGTCATTTGAGGTTTGCGGATGACATAGTATTATTTAGTACAGATATCAAGGAACTGGAGCAAATGTTGAAGGAATTAAACCAGCAGTCAAATAAAATAGGTCTCAAAATGAACCTTCAGAAAACAAAAATAATGAGTAATTTACAAACTAATCTTGTTATTGACAACGTCAGTCTTGAAAATGTAGACCACTATATATATCTTGGACATACCATTAAAATCGGCAAAGAAAATCAAATAGCCGAAATAAAAAGACGCATACAACTGTCTTGGGGAGCTTTCGGCAAATTAAGCTTTATTTTGAAGAATAAAGATATACCAATGTGTCTAAAACGTAAAGTTTATGACAAATGTATCTTGCCTGTAACTACATATGGACTGGAGACCATGGCCTTCACAAAGAAAACCTTAGAGCAGCTCAGTACAACCCAAAGAGCAATGGAGAGGGCCATGCTAGGGATTAGTTTGAGAGACAGGATTCGAAATAACGTCATTCGTGAAAGAACAAAAATTACTGATGTCTCAGAACGTATTGCAAGGCTCAAGTGGCAATGGGTCGGACACGTTGCCCGAGATAATCCCGAAAAATGGACACAAAGATTAACAAACTGGAGACCAAGAGAGAACAGGCGAGGAGTAGGCAGACCGCAGAAGAGGTGGACAGACGATATCAAACAAGTCGCGGGCAAGCAGTGGATGAGAATTGCCAAAAGTAGAAATCGATGGAAGCAAATGGAAGAGGCCTATGTCCAGCAGTGGACGAACACAGGCTGAAGAAGAAGAAGAAGAGAGAAGAAGACTTTGAAAAAGCATTCGATAAGGTGAAACATTGGGCAGTAAAGAACTCGTTACAAAATGGGAGAATAGACTATAGATATATGAATTTAATTTCCAATATATATGATCAAGCAATAACATCCATTAAAATAGTTGAACAAACGGAGTCTAATAAAATAAGGCGAGGATTCAGACAGGGTGACACTATATCACCCAAACTAGTCAATCAAGCTTTGGAAGACTTTATGAGGAAATTACAATGGAAAAAACGGTGGTGTTAAGATAAATGGCCAATACTTGAATCACTTGAGATATGCAGACAACATTGTATTAATAACAGATAGAAGAGAAGAATTACAAAATATGATGATGAATTAAATAGCGAATCAACAAAAATAGGGCTACAAATGAATTATTATAAGACGAAAATTATGACCAAACAACCAGAAGAATTAATAATTACAATTGCACAAACAACTATAGAACAAGTAAAAGAATATGTATATTTGGGACAACTAGTTAAATTAAATAAAAAAATCAGACCGGAGAAATAAAGAAATGGATACGGTTGGCTTGGGTATCCTTCGGAAAACTTTCATATATACTAAAAATAGAAAATGCCTCCAATATTTAAAAACAAGAGTTTTCAACCAATGTATACATCCTGTTCTCACCTACGGTTCTCAAACTTGGACGTTTACAAAGGAAAACATGGAAAAAATAGCAAAGACCCAAAGAGCGATGGAAAGGCAAATGCTGAACATCAGCTATCAGACAAGAAAGAATACTTGGATCCGCAACAAAACAAAAGTGACCGACGTATCAACGCAGATAGCAAAACTTAAGTGGAAGTTCGCTGGACATACCATAAGACAGAAAGACAAAAGATGGAATAAGATGATTATACACTGGAGACCATATAGTTACAAATGAAAAAGAGGAAGGCCACAAATGAGATGGTGAGATGACTTGAAGAAACAC